ATCAGGGAGTTTGAGCTACTGCATGAAGTGTCTCTTGGTTTCAATGACAATCAGGGAGTTTGAGCTACTGCATGAAGTGTCTCTTGGTTTCAATGACAATCAGGGAGTTTGAGCTACTGCATGAAGTGTCTCTTGGTCTCCATGACAATCAGGGAGTTTCAGCTACTGCATGAAGTGTCTCTTGGTTTCAATGACAATCAGGGAGTTTGAGCTACTGCATGAAGTGTCTCTTGGTTTCATTAACAATCAGGGAGTTTGAGCTACTGCATGAAGTGTCTCTTGGTTTCAATGACAATCAGGGAGTTTCAGCTACTGCATGAAGTGTCTCTTGGTTTCAATGACAATCAGGGTGTTTGAGCTACTGCATGAAGTGTCTCTTGGTTTCAATGACAATCAGGGAGTTTGAGCTACTGCATGAAGTGTCTCTTGGTTTCAATGACAATCAGGGAGTTTGAGCTACTGCATGAAGTGTCTCTTGGTTTCACTGACAATCAGGGAGTTTCAGCTACTGCATGAAGTGTCTCTTGGTTTCACTGACAATCAGGGAGTTTGAGCTACTGCATGAAGTGTCTCTTGGTTTCACTGGTCTCCATGGCAATCAGGGAGTTTGAGCTACTGCATGAAGTGTCTCTTGGTTTCAATGACAATCAGGGAGTTTGAGCTACTGCATGAAGTGTCTCTTGGTTTCATTGACAATCAGGGAGTTTGAGCTACTGCATGAAGTGTCTCTTGGTTTCAATGACAATCAGGGAGTTTGAGCTACTGCATGAAGTGTCTCTTGGTTTCATTAACAATCAGGGAGTTTGAGCTACTGCATGAAGTGTCTCTTGGTTTCACTGACAATCAGGGAGTTTGAGCTACTGCATGAAGTGTCTCTTGGTTTCACTGACAATCAGGGAGTTTGAGCTACTGCATGAAGTGTCTCTTGGTTTCAATGACAATCAGGGAGTTTGAGCTACTGCATGAAGTGTCTCTTGGTTTCATTAACAATCAGGAGTTTGAGCTACTGCATGAAGTGTCTCTTGGTTTCAATGACAATCAGGGAGTTTGAGCTACTGCATGAAGTGTCTCTTGGTTTCAATGACAATCAGGGAGTTTGAGCTACTGCATGAAGTGTCTCTTGGTTTCAATGACAATCAGGAGTTTGAGCTACTGCATGAAGTGTCTCTTGGTTTCAATGACAATCAGGGGAGTTTGAGCTACTGCATGAAGTGTCTCTTGGTTTCAATGACAATCAGGGGAGTTTGAGCTACTGCATGAAGTGTCTCTTGGTTTCAATGACAATCAGGGAGTTTGAGCTACTGCATGAAGTGTCTCTTGGTTTCAATGACAATCAGGGAGTTTGAGCTACTGCATGAAGTGTCTCTTGGTTTCAATGACAGTCAGGGAGTTTGAGCTACTGCATGAAGTGTCTCTTGGTTTCAATGACAATCAGGAGTTTGAGCTACTGCATGAAGTGTCTCTTGGTTTCAATGACAATCAGGGAGTTTGAGCTACTGCATGAAGTATCTCTTGGTCTCAATGACAATCAGGGAGTTTGAGCTACTGCATGAAGTGTCTCTTGGTTTCAATGACAATCAGGGAGTTTGAGCTACTGCATGAAGTGTCTCTTGGTTTCATTAACAATCAGGGAGTTTGAGCTACTGCATGAAGTGTCTCTTGGTTTCAATGACGGTCAGGGAGTTTTTGCTACTGCATGAAGTGTCTCTTGGTTTCATTGACAATCAGGGAGTTTCAGCTACTGCATGAAGTGTCTCTTGGTTTCATTGACAATCAGGGAGTTTCAGCTACTGCATGAAGTGTCTCTTGGTTTCACTGACAATCAGGGAGTTTGAGCTACTGCATGAAGTGTCTCTTGGTTTCAATGACAATCAGGGAGTTTGAGCTACTTCATGAAGTGTCTCTTGGTTTCACTGACAATCAGGGAGTTTGAGCTACTGCATGAAGTGTCTCTTGGTTTCAATGACAATCAGGGAGTTTGAGCTACTGCATGAAGTGTCTCTTGGTTTCATTAACAATCAGGGAGTTTGAGCTACTGCATGAAGTGTCTCTTGGTCTCCATGACAATCAGGGAGTTTCAGCTACTGCATGAAGTGTCTCTTGGTTTCAATGACAGTCAGGGTGTTTGAGCTACTGCATGAAGTGTCTCTTGGTTTCAATGACAATCAGGGAGTTTGAGCTACTGCATGAAGTGTCTCTTGGTTTCAATGACAATCAGGGAGTTTGAGCTACTGCATGAAGTGTCTCTTGGTTTCAATGACAATCAGGGAGTTTCAGCTACTGCATGAAGTGTCTCTTGGTTTCACTGACAATCAGGGAGTTTGAGCTACTGCATGAAGTGTCTCTTGGTCTCCATGGCAATCAGGGAGTTTGAGCTACTGCATGAAGTGTCTCTTGGTTTCAATGACAATCAGGGAGTTTGAGCTACTGCATGAAGTGTCTCTTGGTTTCATTAACAATCAGGGAGTTTGAGCTACTGCATGAAGTGTCTCTTGGTTTCAATGACAATCAGGGAGTTTGAGCTACTGCATGAAGTGTCTCTTGGTTTCATTAACAATCAGGGAGTTTGAGCTACTGCATGAAGTGTCTCTTGGTTTCACTGACAATCAGGGGAGTTTGAGCTACTGCATGAAGTGTCTCTTGGTTTCACTGACAATCAGGGAGTTTGAGCTACTGCATGAAGTGTCTCTTGGTTTCAATGACAATCAGGGAGTTTGAGCTACTGCATGAAGTGTCTCTTGGTTTCATTAACAATCAGGGAGTTTGAGCTACTGCATGAAGTGTCTCTTGGTTTCAATGACAATCAGGGAGTTTGAGCTACTGCATGAAGTGTCTCTTGGTTTCAATGACAATCAGGGAGTTTGAGCTACTGCATGAAGTGTCTCTTGGTTTCAATGACAATCAGGGAGTTTGAGCTACTGCATGAAGTGTCTCTTGGTTTCAATGACAATCAGGGAGTTTGAGCTACTGCATGAAGTGTCTCTTGGTTTCAATGACAATCAGGGAGTTTGAGCTACTGCATGAAGTGTCTCTTGGTTTCAATGACAATCAGGGAGTTTGAGCTACTGCATGAAGTGTCTCTTGGTTTCAATGACAATCAGGGAGTTTGAGCTACTGCATGAAGTGTCTCTTGGTTTCAATGACAATCAGGGAGTTTGAGCTACTGCATGAAGTGTCTCTTGGTTTCAATGACAGTCAGGGAGTTTGAGCTACTGCATGAAGTGTCTCTTGGTTTCAATGACAATCAGGGAGTTTGAGCTACTGCATGAAGTGTCTCTTGGTTTCAATGACAATCAGGGAGTTTGAGCTACTGCATGAAGTATCTCTTGGTCTCAATGACAATCAGGGAGTTTGAGCTACTGCATGAAGTGTCTCTTGGTTTCAATGACAATCAGGGAGTTTGAGCTACTGCATGAAGTGTCTCTTGGTTTCATTAACAATCAGGGAGTTTGAGCTACTGCATGAAGTGTCTCTTGGTTTCAATGACAGTCAGGGAGTTTTTGCTACTGCATGAAGTGTCTCTTGGTTTCATTGACAATCAGGGAGTTTCAGCTACTGCATGAAGTGTCTCTTGGTTTCATTGACAATCAGGGAGTTTCAGCTACTGCATGAAGTGTCTCTTGGTTTCACTGACAATCGGGGAGTTTGAGCTACTGCATGAAGTGTCTCTTGGTTTCAATGACAATCAGGGAGTTTGAGCTACTTCATGAAGTGTCTCTTGGTTTCACTGACAATCAGGGAGTTTGAGCTACTGCATGAAGTGTCTCTTGGTTTCAATGACAATCAGGGAGTTTGAGCTACTGCATGAAGTGTCTCTTGGTTTCATTGACAATCAGGGAGTTTCAGCTACCGCATGAAGTGTCTCTTGGTTTCACTGACAATCAGGGAGTTTGAGCTACTGCATGAAGTGTCTCTTGGTTTCAATGACAATCAGGGAGTTTGAGCTACTGCATGAAGTGTCTCTTGGTTTCAATGATAATCAGGGAGTTTGAGCTACTGCATGAAGTGTCTCTTGGTTTCAATGACAATCAGGGAGTTTGAGCTACTGCATGAAGTGTCTCTTGGTTTCAATGACAGTCAGGGAGTTTGAGCTACTGCATGAAGTGTCTCTTGGTTTCAATGACAATCAGGGAGTTTGAGCTACTGCATGAAGTGTCTCTTGGTTTCACTGACAATCAGGGAGTTTCAGCTACTGCATGAAGTGTCTCTTGGTTTCAGTGACAATCAGGGAGTTTGAGCTACTGCATGAAGTGTCTCTTGGTTTCACTGACAATCAGGGAGTTTGAGCTACTGCATGAAGTGTCTCTTGGTTTCAATGACAATCAGGGAGTTTGAGCTACTGCATGAAGTGTCTCTTGGTTTCACTGACAATCAGGGAGTTTCAGCTACTGCATGAAGTGTCTCTTGGTTTCAATGACAATCAGGGAGTTTGAGCTACTGCATGAAGTGTCTCTTGGTTTCAATGACAATCAGGGAGTTTGAGCTACTGCATTGATGGTTTGGTTGATTGTTGTTTAACGCCGCAATCAGCAATGTTCCGTTTAAAGAATCGAGTTCTGACCAGACAGTCCTGTCAACAACAGCATGAGAATCGATCTCAGCAATTGGGATGACATGTGTCAACACGTCAGCGAGCCTGACCACTCGATCCGTTAGTCGCCTCTTACAACTGATTTCATTTACTTCATTCATCTAGGGTTATAAACCAAAAGACGTATTCACGTGAATCTGATCATGGGAAATTCAGAATATATCATGGATTATGAAGTTGTTTTTGATAAGCCGATCGTACCTTTATACTTCCACTTATAACTGGGGGCGGTGGGGCAGCCTAGTGGTTACAGCGTTCGCTCGTCACGCCGAAGGCCCGGGTTCGATTTCCCACATGGGTACAACTTGTGAAGCCCATTTCTGGTGTCCCCTGCCGTGATATTGCTGGAATATTGCTTAAAAACGGCGTAAAACCATACTCAGTATGACAATATTCAAAAGAGAAGAAATTCATTCAGTAACTGTCAATTTTATTGATGATCATGTTATATAAGACACAGTTACCTGAGAAACATTCGCATAATTTGTCAGCATATTGGAAAATGTACCTGAAATAGGTGTATGGTTCAGAAGGATGCCGATCCCGGCTCAGTGAGTGTATTAATATACGAGGCGTTAGGCATATGGCAAATGAAAGGCAGACAAGGAAAGCTTTGGGAGTCCTTTAAACCTTCGATTTTCAACCCTTTCAAATAAGTTCATACAATTCAACGTTTCTATTGTAAGAGTAGTTTTATATGTCATGAACTATTAAAATGGCTGTGTCACATAGCAGACGGTGTTAACTAGGCTACAACATGTGAAGAAGAATTCCTGAGAAAGGTTCCAAAGACATTTTCCTACAGTGCCACACTGCTAGCATGTTCAGTGCCCGGTAAAGGATTGGTGCAGTCTGTGGTCAAGAGTCTGTGGCTCCTAAGTGTTATGCATACAGTAAAAGTCGGGTCAAGATTTCTGTGGCTCCTAAGTGTTATACATCCAGTAAAAGTCGGGTCAAGATTTCTGTGGCTCCTAAGTGTTATACATCCAGTAAAAGTCGGGTCAAGATTTCTGTGGCTCCTAAGTGTTATACATACAGTAAAAGTCGGGTCAAGATTTCTGTGGCTCCTAAGTGTTATACATCCAGTATAAGTCGGGGAAAATACATTTATATTTCTGGTTTGTCTGTCTCGACTGAATAGCAGATATCGTATGAAACCAAACCCAGTATTAACGCTGCATCATTATAAGTGGGATAGCTCGGGGGTGATTTTGAAACAGTTATAAACACGTATATATTATTACTTGCTGATAATGTTAATGCTTCTCTATATATCTTTGATTTATGATATTTATTTCCACAACTGGTTCTCGTCGCTATTGGCTATATATTGGTCTCTCTCATCTTCTTCATTGTCTCCCTCTACTGCACGAGCATAATGTCCTCTCAACATTTCTAAATCTACTAGACACAAAGTTCAACATTAACGTCCATCCTAGCATGTACCGGGTCTCATCATGGGAAATACAAGCCAGTGTTTCGGGAACCCAAACTGATCTAGTTATGAAGCTGGTGGCTAATGACCGTATGTCATTTTGGTTAGATCATAACGTACACATATCATGGTCGATAAATTCGGTATGTCATTTCCGTTTGATCATAACATGCACATATCATGGTCGATAATTACCGTATGTCATTTCGGTTTCATCATAACATGCACATATCATGGTCGATAATTACCGTATGTCATTTCGGTTTCATCATAACATACACATATCATGGTCGATAATTACCGTATGTCATTTCGGTTTCATCATAACATGCACATATCATGGTCGATAATTACCGTATGTCATTTCGGTTTCATCATATTATAACATACATATAACATGGTCGTTAATAACCGCATTCCATTTCGGTTTGATCAAGACATATCGTAGTTAACATGATAGCTAATTACCATCCTGGGTGTTTGATCATGACACAACATACATTTAGTTACACGACAGTAGCAAAAGAACCTTTTCTTTGGACATTTGGTCATACTTTTATTCTAAGTTTAACATTAGCTAGGCGCATATATCTGAGCAAAAGAGCAGTACGCCTATGCTTGATAGTGGCTGACTAGCACACGAACAAAAATGAAAGATGATCAATCGATGACGATGTTGTTTATACGGATATCCTACATGAGTGTTGCAGGGTTTCGGCGGCTGTGTACAGTGTAGTAACGTTTTAATAAGGTGTGTAATATTTTGTCCAATCCAATTGCCTGGTGTGAAATATATTTTACCGGAGAGGAGCGGTGGGGTAACCTAGTGCTTAAACCGTTGGTTCGTCACGCCGAAGACCCGGGTTCGAATACCCACATGGTTTCAATGTGTGAAGCCCATTTCTGGTGTCCCCCGCCGTGATGTTGCTGGAATATTGCTAAAAGCGGCGTAAAACCAAACTCAGTCAGTCAGTCTGTCTTTTACCGGAGAGTTTACATTGTCTTGGTCGGTCTACCAAGCTGAGCCTATTCGGGTTTAAAATGCCGTTTAAGATTGCTACGTTTACACAGTGACGTCAAGCAAGATACAAACCGTGTCTTCAAAGATGGCAATATGTCCCCTAAACTGTCTAGGTTAGTATATGACGAGAATTTAGTAAACTATTCTTCGGCTCATTAAAACAGAACAATTTTGGGTGCTGCTTCTAAAGCTATTCTGGTCATAAACTGTTGGACAAAAGAAGACACACACTCATGTTGATTATGCCTAAAAATGAAACACAAAAAGGGTTTAATCGATGGTCATGTATTTGATTCGAGGGTAAAATAAAATAAAAAAGTTGTTCTTTTGGAACTTAAGGTTCCAGTGTTTAGTCTGTTTTCAGCTTGGTAACGTTTAGATCAATTTAACATCAACTACAAGATCTGATACATGACTGAAAATTGGCAGCAGGCAGAGGAGCATCGTCCTGCTTTGAAGAAAGCATTTTTGAAAAGAAAAAAATACAAAAATATTTTTCATCATAGTTTTACTTAAAATGTTTTAATTATTTTTTGTACTTAAATATTGAGTAAATTGTCAGTAAAACAAGAATAAACATATGTGGGAGTAAATAGTGATTCCATTATAAGACATATTGACAACAACCATTGTAATACGGCGATAATTTCATTTGCCTCATTGTGAGTCTGAATAGGTCACGTTTAAGAATACACACATAAACATGGGCATACAGTTACATAATGTTACATAATGTTTATAATGTATAACACATAACATTTACAACATAGGGCAAGGACAGTCAGTGAAAGGTATAACATTACATAACTACCCACATATACACCCTGTATGGAGCGGTTCTATTGTGAACCATTACAACAACAATGACAACAGTGACGCGCGCTGACAGAACAGAACCGGACTATCTGTTCATCTAAACCTTTCCACACGACTAGTCACAATGGGTGGTAATAAAACACAGACGTTACACGACACATTGTGGTTGACTTGTTGACGTACAATATTGCGTACAAGAAATTCTGGTTCAAAGGTGATTTGAATTTTACAACCATAATAATTTTACAGTGGTTTTGCAGAATCGTACACAAACAGTTGGACCAATTGTTACAGCTATTGCCATCGGTCAATTTGGTTTCCGATTCGTATGTTACTGTGTTGAATTTAAATCAGAAATATATTCGAATGGTGTTCTGCATTTCTAAGTGAGTGAGTATGGTTTTAAACCGCCTTTAGCAATATCCCAGCAATATCACGACGGGTGACACCAGAAATGGGCTACACACATTGTACATAGATGGGGATTCGAACCCGGGTCTTCGGCGTGACGAGCGAACGCTTTAACCACTAGGCTACCCCACCGCCCTATTCTTCTGCATTGAGGTATGTGCACATACTAGCAATACTTGGACTTAAAGCGTGTGTCGCTCGGCGAAAGTCAACGATTAGATAAGAGCCAACTGTCGAGTCCCGAATACCCTTTTAAAAAGACCCCAAATCCTTTGGACAGGAAGGGGCTGGTGGTCTCATTACATGGAAACATGATACTCGTTTTGATACATTGACTTAATGTGTTGTGGTATAAGGTATTTCTACAATACTATCATGGACACTGATGACTTAACTTTGTCATGTTTTTCTAAGCCTCCTAGATCCCACCGCAGATTTCCTCCCTTCCTCGTAAATCCAAGTCTCATACGCTGCCGGTGTAGGGACGGTATCCTCCCTAGCGACGTTACCGAGTCGGTATAGTGGGCTGTGGTAGGCTCGTTTTTCGGTCGGTATCTGCTTCACCCACTGCTCCGTGCGTGTCCTCGACGGAACCTTCATCTTATCCAGCTCCTCAATGACACCTGGTGTCAGGGGTCTATGTTTCATCCACTTCTGACTCTTGTTCTCCTTGCTCTTCTTGGACTTATCCCACATGTGTGATAATGTCTGCATTATATCCTCCCCGTTGTATATCACACCATCCGAGGATGATAAAGAAGCACTATCGTCCTTTTTATGAGAATACAATAAACTTGTATTAAGGTCGTGTATAAGCTCCGGTAGGTTAACACCACTCTTGTCCTGACTAGAAGATTTAGAAATCCTGGAATTAAAACCATGTAGTAGTTCCAAGTTGGGTGAATCCAAACTCCCGTCAATGTCTTCACAGTCATCATCTGTTCTGGACATCGTGCTGTGACGTTGCCTTGGGTCGTACTGTAATCCTATCAAGTCTTTTTTCCGTATGGAAATGTCCGGGCCGGACTGTCTCAGCGCAGACGGAATCTTCCTCTCAGTACACGAGTACGACACACTCCGAGATCGCGACACCATCACTGGTCTTTTGGCGGAGAGGGTGTCAACTAAGTTGCGTCTGGCCTTCTCCTTGTTTCTGGGGCGTTTGTCGGAGTCCTCGCTGGACACCATGGTTCTTGATAAAGGAGATTGATCCCTGCTGAGGTCAGGAAGGTACCTCTGGGTGTCAAGGAGAACTACTTTCTTGGGTGTCCGCCGACCCGTCCAGTCGGACATAGCCTTCCACTTTCACTGGACAAGGCTCCCCTTCCCATGGGAATGAAAACACCTGCTCCAATTAATGGAGTATTCACATCTTACATATACACAGCGTCAGGAATTCAACTGACAATCGCTAGGCGTCAGTGTCTGTCCGCACAGGTATAGCTGCAACCCGCGTTATCTGAATACAAGCACAAATCGTTCACCTGGTCTGTCTGTCTTCTGTTCGTCCATATCTGGATTGTTCGTGCCAAATCGACAGTGTTCAAATAAAGTTGTATATTTTTCTGTTGCTAGTTCTTAACTCGCGTGTGACCCCATTCGTTCGGTGAGAAAGCCCAGCTGATAGAGCGGACTGTTCGATCGGAGGAAGTGTCCTGTGATCGACTGGGCGATTACATGTGATCCGCTCCCCAGCCTATCTGGCAATCACCCGTGGAATTCACCTCCCTATTTACCACGCTCTCAACTTTCACGGCGCTTGTGAAAACCAATGCAAACACTACAAGTGACTCGCGCATGCGCGTGTGTCATTTCAAAACTGTCGTCTGCGCTGTTATTTCATTTCATTCTATAGATACCACGACCAGACATGAGCATGTAGTTCTCAATAATCAGTACTGAAAACCTTGTGAACTATTTTGAAATTTGAAAGTAGTTTTATGCTATTGAAATGAATACAACATTGAAATCAGTGTATTAGACGCCACCAGTGATTTCAATGGGAGATATCAACACCATATCAACATATTGACATAAGGTCTTGTTTGCTATGTAGAGAACGTTATGTCTGTTCGTGCTCTGAAGTAAAACCATTTTCATTGACAAATACCCCGCGAGGTAAACAACGAGAATGCAATCAGGTTTCCTAGACACGTGAGTGGCCTCCAACTTGGATTACATTTTACACCTTCCATTTGCAGTTGAAGCACAAACGACAATGGTTTGATCGTTCACCCTCATTAAACTCCGAGTCAACAGCAGAAGCGTACCCCTCCAGGACTGCCAAATAACCCCAGTATATATCAACCATTGTGTTGTTTACAATGGAGCCTGGAAGGGAATTGGATTAATGTTTCGCTGCAGGTATATTTGCGTGAAAGTAATTTAGATATAAAAACCTGAGTAGTGTAATGCCAGGAGGACATGGGTGTGTGACGTGGTGTGTTCTACTGTCACTATGGGAGATACAACGCTACATTAATCAGGTACAATTTACTAGTTCAGTAATGGAATCCTGGAGAAGCTGATATGAAAACACTGACCGGGACAATTGATTCGAATTACTAACAGACCGACAGGTATTTTAGTGAATTCTAACCTCAGGTACAACAATTCATACATATTAAAACAGGAATACTCACTCCGTTTCCTGCTGAAGTATTGAAGACTATGTATACATGTATACATAAACGTACAGTATTTAGATTCATGGGAACAAAGAGGACAACAAATCTGGTTGCTGAGCTAACATATTAATACAGAAAGCAGAAGTTTGCTACGTCGGATAATACACAATATGCGTCATTAAAATACATTGCTAATCAATCTAAGAGAGAGTTGACTTTAAATTAAAAACAAAAAACAAACAATGGGAGTAATATATGAAGCTCATCTTCAACACATTTACTACATGACGAACCCGAAACCCTAGTCTGTAACCCGCCGTGATATTGCTGGAATATTGCTGAAAGTGGTGTAAAACTAAACTCACTCTCTCTCTAGTCTGTAACCCGCCGTGATATTGCTGGAATATTGCTAAAAGTGTTGTAAAACTAAACTCACTCTCTCTCTAGTCTGTAACATTAGAAAGTAAACGTTGAGTGACAGTTTATAGATAACCTTTGGAAGTTTGGCTTTGGGTCAATAAAATTGTCGATGAAGGAGTGCCACGAGGAGGAACGGGGAAATGTTTAGCAGTTTGGTTACCGGTACGTCCACGGTGGACCACACGACAGGTGTCCAGTGTGGTGCTCCGCCATCAAAATCCCATGCATCAAGTCCCTGGGCCTCTCACACACTCTGAAACAAATATCTCCAAGAAAGCCCATGCAAGTCTGGATTGTGTGGAAAGTATAGATTCCTGTTGTTGTTTTAAAATGAAGAATGTTTGTTGGTTCCTTTTTTATTATATGTTATCAAGTTATTATACCCCCGCTACGCAGTAACGGGGGTATATAGCGTTCATTATGTCCGTCCGTCCGTCCCGAAACTTTGTCCGGAGCATATCTCTTAAAGTTTACATGCTAGGTTCACCAAACTTCACACACATGTTAATCATTACCCACTGATGTGCCTTTTACTATTTTAAAGTTTTTCAGAATTTGTTTTGTTGTTGTTTCCATGGAAACATGACTTGGTGCAAAATGTGTTTGATGGTTACCTGGCCACAGCATATCATCGAAACTATACATGTTAGGTTCACCAAACTTAATACACAAGTTAATCATGACCCACAGCTATGCCATGTGCTAAAAAATAACAATCTTCATCTACGTCCACTTCATTGTGTGCAACAAGTTCAATTGAATGACAGGTTTCCACGGAAAACACAAAAAAGTTATGTTTCCATAAATTATTACTGTAATCAGTACATGGCAAAACAATTATCTAACATGTATATAAAGTTTAGTAGAGTCAAGGAGAAAGTCTTGTGAGCTGCTGATCCTTGTCACATTATATATATCAATATCAGTCATTTCCATGTCCCAAAGTGGGAAGCGGGGGTATGTGAGCTGTGCTCACTTCTACACTTGTTTAAGAACTGTTTTTCTGTAAAATAGGAACAATTTGATTTGTTAAAATGGTTCCTAGCTTAAAAACATTACATTTTTATATTTTATATTACGGGTTTGTAAACTGGACAATGTGATCCAATCTATAACATATATTTATAAAAGTAAGGTCTCAATCAGCACAAGAGACTTAAAGACGTGTTGCTGTCGCTTCATGTAGGTGAAAAAAACTTTTATATTTTGATGTGAGATTATTGATAGGATTATGATAGTCGTATTATACCTTTAAAAGGATCTCATCAATGGGTTAGTTCTCATATGAATAAACTAACGTCAAACCGCCCTGACGAAAGGTATTTCAATGACTGCTAACAGAGAGCGCTAAATCCCATTAAGAACACATTACAAAACACGGTAGTATTGTGGCAGTTATAGGGCAGGGCACGGCGCTTGTCAGTACAAAGTGATAACCCGAGTCGATGCTCTGATTGAACGGAGAGCGATGCAGTGGCGGGTGAGTACGGGTCTGTGATCGATCACTTATCGATCTGTCTGTGTATGATTGGTCTAATTGCCAGTGCTGTTTCTCTTTCTCAAACACAGCGTAGTATTGGGTCAAAATCACTGGATGCGTAAAGCTATAGCTTGTTTCTAAGTAAGCTTTAGCGCCGATACGACTGTATGTATACTGGCAGTGGATATAACGCAACTATCTGTTGGCCTCTTTAGGCAAGGATTGGGGATCTTAAGCTTCATTTAACAGCATTTGAGTTCTCCTGATTTCCCTAGCGTGAAACTTTCCCCAGAGTTCCAATGGGTGAACCGGCATGTCATGGGTGAAACCTTCCCCAGATTCCCGATGGGTGAAACTTTCTCTTGAGTTCTCGTAGGTGAACATTAATCTCTATGGGTGAAACCTCCCCCAGAATCCCTTACCCGGAATCCCAAAGGTGTAACCTTCCCCGATTTCCCGTGGTTGAAACCTTCCCTGAGATCCCATGGTTGGGACTTTCCCCTGAGTTCCTATGGGTGAAACTTTCCCCATAATCCATTTGGGTGAAACTGTCCCGAGTTCCAATGGGTGAACCGGAATCCCTACGGTTGAAACTTTCCCCAGAATCTATATGGGTGAAACCTTCCCTTAAGTCCTCGTAGGTGAACATTGATCTCTATGGGTGAAACCTTCCTCAGAATCCCTGGGTGAAGCTTTCCCCTGAGCTCCCATGGGTGAAACCTTTTCCAGAATCTTTTTGATTCCCCATCAGTGAAACCTTCCCTTGATTCCCCATGGGGGAAACCGTCCCTTGAATCCCCATGGGTGAGACCATACCCGTATTTCCAATTTGTATACCTTAAACCTCTGGAATCTTCACGGTATGATCCCTCACTGGAGTCGCCACGGAGTCCCAACGATACAAGGGTCTGCACAAACAGCGTGTCCCGGATACAGACAACATTCAGTGTCTTGAATATATCACAGTAGATATTGCTGGGCATGGTCTGATCCCACGCCGGTAAGACGGGCAGTGGTGACGTAGGCTTACTCGACAGGGATAAATACCTTCTATGGGCAGTGATAGGACGGGAATCGTGTAAGGAATCTCAACAGTGTCATTTATTGTCAAATAACGTTTATTGTGGATATACCCTTTATCATTAGACGTCTATCATAGATGTGGGGAGGAATCAAGTTCTCTTGTTTACGACGTTGTGTTAGGGCCATCAACCCTTCAGTACACCAGTCTGTGAAATGAATCACTGTTACCTATTCAAGATACCAGGTGTTCGTGGGGTGAGTGTATCCTGCCCACCGTTGGTACCTGTCACAAACACATGCACAGGCAAGTCAATTGTTTACTTGAAGAAACACTGGAACATAAGATACAAGGCTTTAAGTGGTGGGCCTCACTGACCTATTACTAATGGTGATTAGTATCTTTACATTCTATTTCTGCAGCTTTGACCAAGTAATGTAGATAAAAGTATCGCATGTTCACTTCTGTTGCATTGTGACGTTGAACCCAACTCACTCACTCACTCTCTAAAGGGGGACCCTTGAAGATTCGGGTTAGAATTGGCCTTCAGTAACCCATGCTTGTCGTAAGAACGGAATCGGGTGGTCAGGCTCGCTGACTTGGTTGACACATGTCACTGTATCCCAGTTGTGTAGGAAGATGCTGATGCTGCTGATCACTGGATTGTCTGGTCCAGACTCGATTATTTACAGACCGCTGCCATATAGCTAGAATATTGCTGAGGGCGGCGTAAACCTAAACTCACTCACTCTCTTAAACGGGTAGTTTCAAAACATCCCCACTTCTTTCAGACGCCTGATGTTATGTGACCCATTTCTCTAAACATCTCTTGTTACTATACTTTAACATAATGTAGTCAAGTTTTCAACAAGGCTGGGGTCTTCTTTTCTCCAATGCTAAATGTTATAAATGTTGTAACAGACGTTGCAGCAAGGCAGATACAGTCGCTACACCTTCATCGACCTGAACTGACAGCCCTTCCCTGTCAGATCTAACGTTATCGTTCCGACGAGGTATGATACATGGTTGTAGAGGTGCCAGACTTGAGACGAGTATCGTGTTCTGATTCATCCGGGATATGCGTAACTGTATAAGAGGTCTACGGCAACATACGTCATACACATGCAGATGTGGCGACAACGCCACAGAATAATACCGTATTTCCTCAAATGATCGCTGGGTGTCGATCAACATCACAGAGTATTTATGCACGGAATTCCCTCTATTATTATCAGGGCAATTTAACGTATGGGCCGGGGTGGTATGGAAGGTCAACGAAATATATATCCGTGCGTTTAATCGAGGAATACGGTAGTCTTAAACAGCCATCAGCCTTCGTGACGCACGAACTGCTAGTAGCACAGGCATGTAGGTAATGATGTGTCGTGGCCCTATAGCAAGTTCGCGGTCCACCCGGCAGGCGGTATATACATGTATACAGAACATACGCAATACGTTTTTGAGTGAACCGTGTTGACGGTGAAGTTTACTCTACAAATCAGGAATTTAAGGAGAACTACTACTGTTAGCATGAGATTGTATTCACCTTTCACAATTCACTTTCATATTCACATTCCTAATCCAATCATATAAGCACTATATGTGAGTGAGTGAGTTTAGTTTTACGCTACACTCAGCAATATTCCAGCTACATGGCTGCGGTCTGTAAGTAGTCGAGTCTGGACCAGACAATCCACTGATCAACAGCATGAGCATCGATCTTCACGGGTGAGCACTATATGTACTAGATTAAGCCTGGTTGATTAATCTGGAGGAAACGGGATTATAGTGAAGGTGTCATGCCCTGTGTCCTTGACCTTGATATGCAGTTCACCCTGAACCCTTTCCAAATTTGTCAAATTTCAGATGTACCCAGTTGCACTGACCTACAGAAACGTGGCTGCAACTGAAGGTGAATAAAGGTGAAAACCCCATTGAAAAAAGCCGTCTTTATCATCTCTATCAAGTGGGTGTGATATGTCGTTTTGGCAAACAACCTGTAAAAGCAACTGTGGCCAATATATTGGTGAACCCTGTGACTGGGGACTTGGGAGACGCCATCAATACCTCGTGTGACCTCCTCAGGCAAGAAGGCATGCTCCACAACGCCTTGTCATGGATGACATTAGCCGTCTGATGAGGTATATATAAGCCGGTGCCACGTATCGTTTAAGGCATTCTCCAGCTCCGGAAGATTAGTTGGCTGTTTGGGACGTCACCTCAGCTCTCTACCATGACGATCCCATAGGTCTTCTATGGGAGACATGTCAGGGGAAGGTGAGGACCATGACAAGACGGCGACATTGACGTTGTTTAGAAAGTTCTGAGTGATCCTGGCTGTGTGGGGACGTGCATTGTCTTGTTGGCAGGGTCCCCCTTGGTTGTTGCTGCAGGAATGACACTGCTACCGGTTTCAGAACTTCGTCAATATACCGTCGTGCATTCAGGTTGCCACGGATAACAACCAGTGGCGTTTTCTGGTCATCACAAATCCCAGCCACACCATGAGACAACCGCCTCCTTGGAAATGGACGTCTTGGAGCCAATCTTTCGTTTCTTTACGGCGGTACACCCGGACTCTCCCGTGTGCAGGGAACATCTACTCTTATCAGTCCATTGTTGTCTGGCGAGGCGATGTCGGGCGGTCAGCGCCATCCCGCGGAAGGGTCGGAAGGCCCTGATACCGACATGACGCAATCGTTTCCTCAGTGTGTGTCGGCTTACCCGGTGACCCAATGCCGCGGATTCCGTCACTGTCAGAAATTGTAATGTGCGTAGAAATCTACCTTGTCCGGGTGGTGTGACGCGTGGTCTGTCTGCCAGTCTGGTGGAACCGCTGGAACAACTTAGTGATGGTCTGTCGTGAGCATCCAAAGGTTCTTGCAATACGTGTTTTTGGCGTCCCCATCATGGCCATACCAATGGTTCTCTCCCTCTCTTCTGCACTTAAACGTGGCATCGCTCTGACCTTTTTTAGGTTGATGTGACAGTGTGTGACCATTTGGATTGAGATATATAGTGGTATCTGCATGGAGATTCCATGGAAAACCGAAAAGCGTATTTTTTGGTTTTAGGGTCGCAGCACGTGCATTGATGCACTGTTTCCATAAGTCACTAACATGTGTTCCAACCCGTTCTGGGATTATTCTCAATCTTAAGGTGACAACTTTCTTATGATCGTCAGTTTAGAAGAAAAGGGGAGGGTATTATGCCCTATCTATCCATGGCTTCGCCCTCGGTTTTACAAGCTCCGTCCCTGCTGCTCGAGGGTTTTACAAGACCGAGGGGGAGTGTTTTATCCGACTTATAAACCTATGGCCAATGTTGTCTATTGTTCTTGCAGTTGCTTCGCATTATGGAATAACCTCGGTAGAGGTTTTACGATTGCAGGAGGTTTTACAATGATCATTGTAAAACCTCATACGAGGTACGAAGTTTTACAATGGTCGTTGTAAAACCTCATACCCTGATGGAACAGCCGGTGTCAACTGGGATGAGACTGGCAACCAACACCTTGCCTCGCACGCGCAATGCACGTGCTTTGCACGCGCTACCCGTGTCCTGCACGAGCGCTGCCCGCAGTACCCGTCTTGTGAGGAACGCATGGTTCATACTGACAAACAACCTCATTCTTCTCAGCGATCCTTCGTAGCCTAGTGGATAAAACCGCCAAGCTAGAGAGCCAAGAGTTGCGGGTTTGAAACCAGTCGCTACTATATATTGGAAGTTTTCAATAAGAGATATTTTACGATCAGTCATAGCACGACAAAGTTGTATCAATCACAAATAACGACCATTTCAAAACTTAGGTTATGAAATGGTCGAAATTCAACCTGATATGAAGTTTCGAAACGTGTACTTCAAAACCTGGGTTTAGAAATGATCGGTGCAAAGTCACGGCAGAGGTCTACCCGATTCTCGAAGGAACCTACTTTTCTGCAGAGAAAAACGAAGATTTATAATTAGTGAGTGAGTTTAGTTTTATGCAACAATATTCAACAATATTCCAGCTATATGGCGACAACCTGTAAATAATCGAGTCTGGACCAGACAATCCAGTGATCAACAGCATGAGCATCGACCTACGTACATGGGATACCATGACATCTGTCAACCAAGTCAGCGAGCCTGACCACGGATACCGTTAGTCGCCTCTTAGGACAAGCATGGGTTGCTGAAGACCTATTCTAACCACTGGTCCACAAGGCTAATTAAAAATATGCTAGGCATAGTGCTGTTTGTGTGCATTATTATTATTATTATTTTTGCACACGAGTTCAATGTGTGATGCTTGCACTCAGTCAGTGATAAATAATAAATATCTGTAATCATACATAGTCAAGACAATAAAAAAAATTATATTGGTTAATTATGGAGCAAGTTGTACTATTGGTGTTTCTGTAAATACATACACAAGCAACTCAAAATTAATTGGCTAATGGTGATATGTATTTCACATACACATAGCTTATCTGAAGTCTGTATAAAACATAAGATCTGAAAGAATAAAGATATTCTTTTTGTAATGCATCATGTCAAACAAACTCAAACGAAATACAAGTAGTTTAACATATTTATTTTGTTGAGATAATTTGATAAACACTTACAGGAGCAATAACAGACACACAGACACCTACAGATTGACCTGTCTATATCCAGGTAGGTCGAGAAGACACAAGTACACCTATAGATACACCTGTCTATCCAGGTAGGTCGAGAAGACACAAGTACACCTATAGATACACCTGTCTATCCAGGTAGGTCGAGAAGACGCAAGTACACCTATAGATACACCTGTCTATCCAGGTAGGTCGAGAAGACGCAAGTACACCTATAGATACACCTGTCTATCCAGGTAGGTCGAGAAGACACAAAGTACACCTATAGATACACCTGTCTATCCAGGTAGGTCGAGAAGACACAAGTACACCTATAGATACACCTGTCTATCCAGGTAGGTCGAGAAGACACAAGTACACCTATAGATACACCTGTCTATCCAGGTAGGTCGAGAAGACACAAGTACACCTATAGATACACCTGTCTATCTATCCAGGTAGGTCGAGAAGACACAAGTACACCTATAGATACACCTGTCTATCCAGGTAGGTCGAGAAGACACAAGTACACCTATAGATACACCTGTCTATCCAGGTAGGTCGAGAAGACACAAGTACACCTATAGATACACCTGTCTATCCAGGTAGGTCGAGAAGACACAAGTACAACAAGCAGACCCATACACCTGTCCAGACAGGTATAACAAATACATACATGTACACCCTCACATACATCTGTATAACCAGGTACAACAAGTACTCACACATACACCTACAGATACATTGTCCAGACTTAACAAGAAGACACAGGTACACCTGCCAGGTATAACAGAACTATATACATCAGATATGTAACGATTTGTAATGAACAACCAGGGCCCACCTGTTGGCCCACCTGTCGGCCCACCTGTCGCTTCAAACAATGTAACCAAAGGTCAACATGACATCAACAGCAGCATCAGGATATTCTCAGCAGGCCAAGATGAGGTATATCACAATAACAAAGTAATATTGATTATTTATTTTCTACAAGATGTAACATATATATACAATGTATAGCAATATTCCCGCAATATCACGGGGAGACTAGAAATGGGCTTCACACATTGTACCCATGTGGGGAATCGAACCCGGTTTTCGGCATGACGAGCAAACGCTTTAACCCTTAGGCTACCCCACCATCCCTTATTCCAGCAATAACAGATCAGTGACACCAGTAACGGGCTTCACACATTGTACCCGCTTCACACATTGTACCCATGTCACACGGGCTTCACACATTGTACCTATGCCAGTCCTAGGCCAAATGTAAGGAATGTGCCTGTCCTATAGGATCATCTCACAGAAGCAGTAAAATAGTCATCCAGTAATTAGTATGACACATCCCACCCTCTAGAAATTTCTGCAGTGGCCACAGGATGTAACAGGTTACTATAAACAAACAAGATTTGTCCTCGCTGTTTAATCGTCGTATAGTGTTATGTGGTACAGCCACAGAGGAAACAGCAAAAATACAAAACAAACCAAAGCCTGAAGATGGAGAGTAACTTGAACAAGATTAAAAGGTAAGTTATTTGAAAGTAGTATTCTAACTTTTACTGTATTTGTACTTACTGCTCATGATAGTAACGAACATATGCATCTGATGTCTTTAATGTATACTAGTAGAAGTAGCCAGCTGGCATAGTAATATGAGAGAAAGTGCCACACTCTGATACACAATTGATTTAATAAGGTTTAGAAATAACAGCATTATCTAAGATTGAGAACAAAAGAGCACAAATATCAGTTTGGGGCACAGGTTATGTTCATTTGAGATAACACTTTGTCGTAAAATTAGACTGTGAGCATATTTTAATGTGTTACAGCAATGTTCAAGAAAGTCTGGGAAAGTAAACAGATATTAACTGTTCCAACTACTGCGCCTACCCCCTTGTAATACAAACCAATAACAGTGATTTGAAACTATGATAGTTTGTTAAACAACTTTTATGCTAAGTTGAATAAAATTCCAATATTTAAATGTTCAATTGGCAAGGTAAAATTATGAGGATTCACAATCTTAATTTCGCTTTAATCAATATACTTTTTTTGTTTAAAGTGAAATTCATCGGTACGTTTTCACTGCAAACAGACTATAGTGTTCCTTTACATTTGATCAAATGAACACATTTGATCAGTATCTATTCTAAAGTCTACAACCTATAACTGCGAAATATTCTCATGGTCATTTTGACGAATCGTCATATCTTCCTCTTGAACTCTAGTGACTCTTTTTATTTGTAGCGCTTTGTGCATGCTCTGGATGGACTCTGGCGCATAAGAAATATCCATTTATTATTATTATTATTCTATAAGGTTTGATTTGATATCTATTCGGACATGTTCTGATTAGAACAGCTGACGTTCTAACTAAGTGACGTCATGATAAGCATGCGCAGTTGTCTCTTCCCCAATGCTACCAAAAGTCGTCTGGCGCCACAGGTCAAAAGGATTTTCCCAGTGATAATTGGAAATTTACTAAAGGTATATTCTAGAGTTCATTACCAAAAACACATTTACACACATAAAGGGGTGAGTGGTATATTAAAATTCATGTGCTACATTATTTTTATATCCTGTAATGTAAGGAAACATATCATTAAGTAGGTGGTTACAAAGATTCTTCCACAATGTACAAACGTGAATTGCATATTCTTACAAAATGAAACCTGTTTTGTATTGACTAAAACCGTTGGATGTGCGTTTTTCGTATTTGTTTGAGGGTGAAATAAATGTATTTTCATTCAAAATTGTGTGATGAATTAGAGTCTACTATAAGATTTGAAATCACATGTACGCAACATCATATCTTTGAAATGAATTAAGAACTTTTAATGTAAAATTGTATCATTTAATGTATAGGATGTGACTGTGGAAGAGATTGAAGATAAAAGCCTCAGAGGGTCCAAAAATCGTCTCTTTCCTCAGAGATGATGCTCCAAATCGCTGCAGACACATTTGTCATGCAAGGTGAATGTCGAGGGTGGCATCATGGCCGCAGTATTGAAACTGATAGCGATGTACTACATTTTCTATTTAAACTATCCCAGAGCAAACACAATGGTCTTTTCGGTTCTGCAAGCATTCGCTACATTCGCCATAGAAGACACGGTCAACTCAAAGTACAAACACTTCGTCAGAGAAATGGGGGAAGTTATCTCATCCTTGCCCAACCCTGAGATAAGGAGCTCTCTTTCAGTATTGTCTTCAATGATGTGCGACTTTAACTGTAGATGTGATAAGATATGCACAAATGAGTTGTTGCAGTTAAAGTAAGCTTCTCCGACACTCCATTTAGTCGTCCACAATCTGACAAAACGATATTAACAATAACACAATTTCGTATTCAACATAGGTGTTCATAAAGTTTTGAATCATTTCATTATGTTGTTTTTATTCTTTCATGTTATGTTTGAGAACACTAGTGTTCTGAAATGAGGCTCAGAACGCTGAAAGGGCATTCTAAATCTGCTACAGCGTCCGAGGCGTCCGGGGGTGTTCTGAATTGAACACATACAGAACACACAAAGAGTGTTCTGAAATCTAGAACACGAGCATTCTGTAAGTGGAACACTAGTGTTCTGATGGAAGAACACATAGTGTCTAAATCAGAACACTCCGACTGCGTTCGGAATCTGTTCCAGGAAGGGTGTTCTCATAGTGTTCAGAATTAGAACACTTAGGATTAGAGTATACTCAGATGAAGAATGCAGTGAAATATGTATCTTTTAAATCTATCATCAGATTTTCCTTCAATCACATTAGTGGTAATAAAGTGTGTGGAACTATTTCAACACAAGCGACAGATACTTTGTTATTTCATGGAAACAATTTGCCGTTAATACAAGACATTCAACCAAGAAGTAATATATTAAGATTGTATCAAAGAGATGCAAATGATACACTCTTTAGTGACAATTACAGCGCTCACATCTTACATATGTTGAACTTATCTGAGTTAGACATTCCATGTCTGTGAAGTTGTTACAAGGATATTTTTCAGTTACATTCCTGGGGTAAAATATGTCTATTTGAATGGCACTTTCATTTACTACATCCTCAAGTTTCTGATGACCGTTGTGAAGCTGTCAAAACAAGATGGACATTCTATGATCAGTGTAACCAGAGTGAAGAATTATGTTCAAAATCACAAGCTTCATGTCAAGAGACAACTGAAAGAAACAAGCTGCGCAGAATAACTTCACCATGTATAAACAATATCAGTTGTGATATAACTGGCATCACACAGTTTGGAAGAGTCTGTTTCAGAATTGATAAACTATATCTGTTTGGGAAATGTCAGACCAGTGTGTGTACCATGCACAGATACTTACAAACACGTGTAAGGGATCCATTTGTTCACAGATTTGTCTAAGGAAGCTTCATCGCCAACAGAGTTAGATGACTGAACAACTGGATCATTTCAATTCAGAGGAATTTGTAGATCTGAATCAGACACTAGATTCACTACATATTGATGAAGTCAGTGTTCCATCTGATCAACATCAGAAATCTTTCATGACTTTTGACCAGGATGTAGAAAATGGCACACCACAAGATGCAGAACAAACAAGAAACGTCCATTCCCAGAATGAAGATGGTACTTGTTACAAGTTCCCTACAGTGCTGCCCTTGTTAACCAGACAACGCCAGCTGTCGGTAGAGATGATGACATGGCGAAACTATGAGAGATTCTTGAAGGCATTCTACAAGACTTGGATCGTCAGTCAGATTCTCAAAAGTATGACAGAATTTTATTGGCTCTTCACCAAAAGCTGTCCAAAAATCTGATTCAGCTGATGAAAGAAAACAAACCTTTCGAACAGTTCCTACGTTTGAAAAAGTCAAAGACTACTAATATCTTCAGTGCATATAAGGATGTCGGTCTTCATGAGCCTTTGAAGTATATGAAAGATGATGAGCAAGAAAAAGATTGGAAGAAACTTGTAACTTTGTCAAATATTGAAACGTCAGCAAGGACTATCAAGCGACTTTCCATGGCATTCCATTTGGCATTTCTAGCTTTTTTTACTCAAGAAACTGACTGAAGAGGACAAGATGAAAATACTCCAAGATATCAAAATTGTCGTTAGGACTTCAGTGGCGGTACATCAAAGACGTTAATTTTCATTGTGACTCAGGTGAAAACACATACCTCACAAGTCAACGATTGA